GACATATGGACATGAACTAAAGGGGGGGTGTGAGTGGGAGGGAGTGTGCAGGGTAGAGGGGAGTAAAGGGGGAAAATGGGACAATGGTAATAGCATAATCAATAAAATATACTAGGAAAAAGCCCTGGCTGGCATAGCTCAGTGGATTGAGTGTGGGCCTGCGAACCAAAGGATCACAGTTCGATTCCCAGTCAGGGCACATGCCTGGATTGCAGGCCAGTTCCCAGCAGGGGACTCATGAGAGGCAACCACACATTGATGTTTCTCTCCCTCTCTCCTTCCCTTCCCCTCTGAAGATAAATAAATAAAGTCTTTAAAATATAGGTGTATGTGTATGTGTATGTGTGTGTGTGTGTGTGTGTGTGTGTGTGTGTGTATTAGGAAAAAAAAGCTGCAAATCCCAACGTCATCACCACTTGTGGATCAGATCCAAAGAAGACAGCCTTGTCCTGTGAGAGGTGGAAATGCACAAACTACTGTGACACTAGGTGTTTAAACAGGCCACAGCTTGGTGTCCAAGTCGGCAGACCTCTCACAGCCGTCACCACAGGAGGACGTATGTTTATTGCAAGGTGTCAGACATCGGCATGGAGAACCAGGGCCTTCTAATGTCGAGAAATCCTTTGAATCCTTTGAGAGTTGATCTGATTTCTGCTAACACGCCTAAGTCCTAGGAGGCAACCTGGCAGACTAAGGTGTGTGACCAGGCTGCGCAACAATGTTTCTGGACCACACACGAAGAGTAAGATGTCATCGCACATCTTCTTGGACCTGATGAACAGGAACCAGATTTGTTCTCTGAGGGGCTGAGTAAAATGGCTCTAAAGGCACTTGCTCCCAAGCTAAGTTCCTTGGGCAGGGACTTTGGTCATATACCACAGTGTCCAGCACAGGCTTGGACAGTGGTAGGACCTCCCTGAGCAGTGCCTGAGCGGCTCAGCCTGGCAGAATAAATGCACAGCCTCCCCACATCACTACCCCACTTAAATACTGAAGCACCTTCCGTGTGCTGGGCCCACTGCGCAGAGGAGTAAGTGACTGATCTAAAGCCACAACTAAGAAATGGCAGCTCTGACACCAAGGGCCACACTCTTAGCCACCAAGCTCCACTGCCTCTACCTGATTTTCAATGAATGGCTCGGCACGCCCCCTCCTCTCCACCCAGAGGCAGCCAGGCCTAGGGGGGCCCTGCAGCTCAGCAGTCCTATCAGCAACACCTGCACCCTCGTGTCTCCACAGGATCCTTCCGAAGGCAGGAGGCCTGGCCCAGCCATTTCCAAATGGCCTTGTGCAGCACACCCCATCACACCTGCCATTGTCCACACCACGTGGGAGGGTGTGGGCCTCGCAGACGGGAAAACAATCCCTTCACAGCGCCCTCCAGGTGACAGCTAGACAAGCAGGGCACTCTGGTTAACTAGTTAAAAAGCATCCTCCAGGAAATGTTTTCCCACACCTGTTCACGGCACACGCAGCCCTGCATCGTCCCCTTCTTTCTCTCACCTGTCCCTAGAAGGCTCTCTGGGGTAGGGACAGGTCTTGTTCTAGCTGCTATCCCAGTGCTGGACACGTCACAACTCTCAGTGAGGACCTGCTCAACGGCGGTGCTTCCTCCACACGCCTGTGCTAGAGCATGAGGTCTGGGCCCCATTACTGACCAGGCCCTGGGATGCTTATGGCTTGGTGCCCTCTCCCACTCCCGGAAGAGGCTGGCTGCCACTCAGCAGGTGCATCCAGCAGAGAGGAACAGATGACAGAGCGCCTCTCCCAGCTCTCGCAGGGCTGGCCGGCACCACTTTCTTCTCCAGGTCTCAGTGGATGTCTCCCCCTCAAAGAAGCCTTCCTGAGTCAGTCGTCTCCAGGCTCCCAGCCACGAGGGTGCCCCATGGCCTGCTGATGCCCTCCCCGCACTCCTCGAACTCGGCTACCATCTGGGTCGGTTGGTGCTTCTGCCCCCGTTGTTCCTGTGCCCTTACACAGAGCCCAGCGTGGCGCCTGGCACATAGTAAGTGCTCAATAAGCATGCAGAATGAAGGGGAAAGGGCCTTCAGTGAAACAAAAGCAAAGAGCAGAATAGAAAGAGAGCTGGTCCGCCTTTCCTTTTCACTCAAGGACCAAACCGGTTCTGAGTGAACTGGTGCCCAGGACTTCCAAACCTCCACATGCCTTCCTGCCCCAGCCTCAGGGCAGGTCGCCTCCGAGCGCCACCAGTGTGGGTGTGCAGCACTGTTCTAAGGGGCACAGTGGAGCAACAGTGTTTTTACTGGACATGGCCCCAGAGGGCAGCTCCCATCCCTTCACCAGGCAACAGGACACAAGTGACCACAGCAGCTGCCGAGCACAGCACTGGCGTCTCCTGAGGTGCCTGTCACGTGGACCAGTCACCGTGCTGGGGTCTAGCATTAGGCAACAGTCATGCCAGTGACTCAGCACCGAATGTGGCCAGAGAAGATGGTTTGGATTCAGCTAACTACAGCTCTGTGGAAGGCCTTGGCATAACTTAAAAATATGTATAACAGGGGTTAACATGGCTAATACTAGAGTAAGGATTTGCCAAAAGCCACTTTTCCAGTTCAGTAATGGGCTTCCCTGACCATTCCCACTTCCTTCTGTGACCACTACCACACACCTGTGGTGGGTGCGATGGGTGTGGGTACAGACAGGGCCAAGGTCTCTGGCTGCCATGAGAATGGACCAGCTGGCCGTGACCTCATGAGCACTGTGCTCAGTTTCAGAGCCAGCCAGGCACAGACAAGGAAAGCTACAAGTCTGCCTTGTGGCACGGACGCTTGTTGCTTCAGATATGATGGAGTAATGGTAACTCCTGTCCCGCGCCCTGTGAACAAAAGAGAAATCTTTATAGAAGAAATGACATTGACGCTGTATTTGACCCAATGACAGTGTCTATGAAAACGCCAGTGACAGGGGCACTGTGTCATTTGGGAGCCAAGAGACACTGGCTGGCTGGGTTTACACATTGTCTCAGCTTTCCCATCACGGTCAAAGCCCCTTCGGTCTCCCAGCAGCCTAGAGTTGGTGGAGTCCATTTGAAATGTAAGGAAACTGGGGTCCAGAGAGGTTAAGTGACTCACTCTGGGTCACACAGCATATAAACTGCCAAGCCAGAACTAGAAAACATCCTCTGATTTGATTTCTATCTGGTGACTTCTCCCCTGGTCTCCCTGGATGACTGCCACAGTGTGTCACATGAACTCTGGGCCTCTGTTTCTTTCTCTACACAGTGAGAAGGATCAGGCCTAGCTCATGCTACCAGGCACGCCACTTGTTTGAGTCTCTGACAAGCAGAGGATCAAAAGTTCCAGAGTATGTGCAAACACCTCACAACTCTAACACACCAGTTATGACAGCATTTTTCATGGGGGAGCCTTTGGTCTCTCCTAATTGAGAGACTCAGGAGAGTAATAAGTGACCTAGCTCTTCTGCTGTCTGACTGTAAACTGTGGAAGAGACACCTTGTCTTGCTAAGAATCAAGGGTGGCCCTCCTGCCGCCTACGCTAACAGTGTGCAGAGCAGGTGAGGGCTAAAAGCACTATGACAAGACAGCAGGATATGGGACCCCCCCACATCTTTACTGGTCATATGCAACCCAGGAAAGTCCTTTCATGCTTTGAGGCTGGTTTTCTCATCACTAAAAGTGGGGGTGGGATCCCTGTCCAGCTGGCCCCTCAAAATTTCTATGGAGCCGCCAATAAGACCAACAGAATTTTATCTGTGAAAAGGCCCAAGGACTCCCTGGAGAGATGGCCAATTCCAAGATGGGGGCAGGGAAGGTCTAGGGTGAAACCCGAATATCTCAGTGTCGGAAAGCAAGGACACATACAAAATGGAGGGAGACATGACAAAGGGCCCGGGAACCAGCCCGAGGGTCAAGTTTGAGACAATCTGAGCATCGTAATGAGTTATGACATGATAGTGCATAATCCACTAAATTTTTTAAAAATCAGTGAACCAACACTGACAGAATAGAAAATAAAAAGGACAGAAGGAAAGCTCTTCTTTACAGAAGAATGCCAATTAATAAACACAAGAGAAATGACGGAAATAGAAAATTCGGCCCGGGCTGGTGTGGCTCAGTGGATGAGCACCAGCCCATGGACTGAAAGGTCTCTGGTTCAATTCCCAGTCCGAGCACAGGCCTGGGTCGCAGGCCAGGTCCCCAGCTGGGGGCGTCTGGGAGGCAACTGATCAATGTACATCATGGCCATCGATATTTCTCTCCCTCCTTTCCCTTCTCTCTGAACATAAAGGAATAAAATCTTTAAAGAAATTCACCATTTTCCAACCACCATAGAAGATCGTCGGAGAACACTAAAGCTGCTGGGTAAAAGCCTGCGATTCGGGATGGGCGGAGATCCACAGACACCGCCGTAACCGCACGACCACACTGAACACCACCAGTGACAGCACAGAGCCCCATCGGGTGCCTGCCAACCAGGCAGGGACTCGACCCCACTTACACAATCCCCACTACAGCGTTGAACCAGAATCCACGCGTGAGACCAACCAGACTGAACTCTGCAAAAGGACCTGGACTCTTCAAACAACCATGTCAGAAAAAAAGGAAAAAAAAGTCCACGCCATAAAAGTTTTTCAAAAGCCGGGGAACTATTTAAGATTATCTGAGACCAGAGAAAACAGAGAGCCAAACGTAATCATGCAAGGTATGATCATGAAAGGGATCTTGGATTGGGAAAGAAAACCAAATAAACCTATAAAGGTCACTGTTAGGGCAAGTGAGGGAATTTCAAAATAAACCATCTAATATGTAGCAGCCAAAAACAAACGTACGCGTGTATGTGCACACGTACACACCACGGGGTGGGGCCAGGGTGTTAATTGGTGGGTCTGGATGGAAGCGGTCGCTGTACTATTCTTGTACCTTTTTTGTTGGTTTGAAGTTTCAAAAGAAAAGAAACCAAAAAGGCCCTTCAAAAGCTGTCAGAACTGCCAGCGGTGTCCCAGCTGACTCGGCACTCACCTGTCAGGTACTCCAGGACGGCGGCCATGTACACTGGCGCCCCCACTCCAATCCTGTACTTGGGGTGGCCTTTCTTGATGTACCGCAGCATCCGCCCCACAGGGAAGATGACTCCTGCCTTGGCGGACCGGGAGGTTTTGGTAGACTTCTTCTTCCCACCCCGGCTCGACATGGCGGTGGCCCTGGAGCTGGATCAGGCAGCACACTGCAGAGGGAGGAAGCACACGGTCAGGATCACTGGGCCGGCGCCATCCGCCCTTCCCCTGCACAAACGGGTGCTGCCCACAGACGCCACTGCCTGCAGCCGCCGAAGCTGATGATCTCCGCTGAAGAGCGGAGGCCCCTGGAGACAGAAAGGCTTAGCTTTTCACATTTTATATCACGACATCAATTCTATCAGCCACTTCCATGTAAAGGTTACTCTGACAGTGGCTTGTCTTAAGTATCTTGCCTTTATGCCATATGACATAAAAGAAAATGGGATTTCTTGGCTATGTTCTATACACTTATTTAATAATTGCATTTTCATACACTGAGACCAGAGCTAGTAAATTTGCTGAAGTCTACATAAAAGAAAACTGTGTCACCTGCCCTTAGAATGAAGTTTTACAGCCAGATACCTAAGTTCTTTGACAAAAGCAGCATCAGATCCTTTATCTGAGAGAGGCAGGAATGGCTCACAGGAGCCCAATGAGTAACCAGGTTGGAACGAGAGGCCCTCGGGACACTTCCAGTCTGCTGGACAGGCCCGCCCTCACAGAAGCGTTTTTCCTTCCCTGCTCCTCCTCCCGACCCCCATCCAAAATGCCACTCAGTCCAGATGATGCCCCTGTTCAACCCCTCTGAGGGGTCCTCTCCTCTCCACCCCAGCTGTGACTGACCGCTCATCACTATCTAAACTAAATGACTGAAAATGTCTCCTGAAAAGGCCTCCCACCTCGCCCCCCTCTCCTCCACTCCACCCGCCCTCCACCAGCAGGGTTACCTGTATACACACAAATCTGAACACGCCGTGGCCTTAAAGTGCTCCCTGGCTGCCACCACACCCGAGATAAAACCAGGGCCCTTGGCCTGTCATGCAGAGCCCTAGAAATCTAGGCCTAGCAGGCCCATCCAGCTTCAGCTCGTCCTCCTTGTGGTCGCACGTGGCCCCCCAATGTCCTTCGTGGTGGTGGCTGTGCTTCGACTGGGACCTCCTCCATCCCTCGTGCTTGCTTTCTGCCCGCTGCCAACCCGCCCCTGGGTGTTCGATCCAGACACTCCGTCCTCTGGGCTCCCATGTGCTTCACACACAGCCTGAGGGGCACGAGCCCCCCACCCGTTCCTCGCATGAGACCGCAAGCTCTCTCATCTTCCCCTGGCCATGCGCCTGGTGTAGCACCACACAGTAAGGTCTCGAACGTTTGCTGAAAGCATTCCGGCTGCCATGCATTCACTTCGGGAACCGTGCTGGGGCACGGAGGCAGCAGTGCGCAGGGCAGCGTGGTCCCCGTTCTCGCAGAGTGGGTGGGGAAGGGAGACGGGGAGTCCTAGGCTCACTTAAGTGGTGATGGGGGAAGGCCGATTATGCCCTGACCACTGAACCAAGTGGGCAGGTGTCCCATTTACTGCTAGACTGAGGTTAGGCTCTGTGGTGTGTGGACTCCTCCAGCTCCGACAGCCCACGCCTCTGACCATGGAGGCCACTAATTTTTAATTCCTTCTTACTCTGATGACTGACCCTATACTGGAGACATTCCTAACACCAGTGTCACCAACCCCTAGATCATCTCAAACTGGCTGCCAGGCAGAAAGGGCCAAAACAGCAGAGAGCAGCATGCTGGGCTCTGTGTGGGGTAGCCGTGCTGCCAGGCCCAACGGAATTAAAGGGCTCGAGCCCTGGCCCTTGCAGGTGATGGAGGGAGCTAAGCAGCCCCTGGGAGGAGAACCCCATATCTAACCCTGTATTTCACCCTGCTGAGGGGCACCAAGTCTTAACTCGTCACTGGGTGCTCAAGAGACCCGGATGGGTCTAAATTTTCCTAAAACAACTGGTTGGCTTCATTTTAAAACTTTCCCTGCAAACAGAAGCTTGTGCTCACTCTGTGCAGGAAGCAGCACGTGAACACATGTATGCATACGTGTTTGCAGGGGAAGCAGCCACAGGGTTTCCTGGGTCTTTTGCATTACCCCAGACGTGTTTCGCAGACTGACCCTATGCTTTGGACGGAGAGCTTTTCAGATCTGAACAAAATTCCCCTGTTTCAGCAGAAGCCTGTGGTCAGTGGTGATTAATGCAGCCTGGCCTCGTTCTTACTGGAGCACAGACTCCGGCTCTGTCTGCGTATGTGCGGGGTTACCCCTGTGGAAATCGGACAGTGTCCTGCCCCTGAGAGGAGCCATCGGCACTCAGGAACCTGATGGGTCCTAAACACACTTACTCCCTAAAAGTGATGCTCCTAGTGCTCCCCTCTGACTCTAGCCAGGAGTCCTTACTTACATCCTCCACATGCTGGTGACGCCCGGGTCTCCAGCCCAGTGCGTATCTTGCTGCTGAGCCCCAGGGCTCTGTCTTGATTACCTGAGGCAAGGGCCCACTGGGAAGTCCCATGGGCGCCTTGAACTCCTCTGGGCTTCTCAGCCCCATCAGTGGCAACATCATGCATGGAGCTACCAAGAGTCAGCCCGGCCCCTACTCCTCTGCCGCAGCGCTCAATCATTAGCCAAGCTCTGCTGAACCTGCCTCTGCAACTTCTCCAGCCTCTTCCCTGCTCTCCACACCACCTGCACTCTGGTTCAGCTCTACTTCTTACCTCCTTCCCCAGCACCAGTCTCTTCCCCTGGAGAGAGCCTGTGCCTGCTTTGCTAGTGCCTCATCACCCCGAACCGGCCACAAACAGCACCCTTCAACTACTTCCGCAGCCCTGTTTCCTATCACCAGCCTGTGATGCTGTGTCCAGTTTCAGAGAGAGAAGAAGAGAGGGAGAAACATCAATGTGTGAGAGAAATAGCAACTGGCTGCCCCTGTCCCCAACGGGACCTGGCCAGCAACCAAGGCATGTACCCTGACATGGAATCCAACCGGCGACCTTTGGGTTCACAGCCCGGCACTCAATCCAGAGCCACACCAGCCAGGGCCAGAACGCCTTTATATACGCTGTTGCTCCTGTCTGTCACACCCTTGCCCTCCTGCCAACCTGAACTGTGCTCACAAGCCCTCTCCTCGAACTCGACCAGGGACCGGAACTGCTTCTGCACCATGTTCCCACAGCACATACCCTGGCACGTATCTGGGGGCCTCCCTCCCCAACTTGACTGAACTGCAAGCGACTTGAGGCCAGGCAGTTGTTGACTCGCCTCTGGCTCCCTGGGTCCCAGGAAAGATCTGAAACATCACGGGCCTTCAAGTGTCACCCTGCTGAACGAAGAACGTCTTCCTGTCTGCCCGTGAGTCTGGCTCCTCTCTGAGAAAGCAGCCCTAAGTCCTCATCCCTTCCCCAAGGGGGCTATCCCTCCCTGCAGAGATTCTGTTGCTCACCTCTCCCCATGTTCTTTCTGCAGTTCTAACTGTAGATCCCCAAGCTGCAGCCACAGCTATGAGAATTCTGACTAAGCCATGCAGCCTCTTGACATCCGGTGATGGGATTTTAGAAACATTATTGGGACAATCACCGTGTAGTTTGCAGCCTCCAGATAAACCCACAGATGTGCAGGCCCATCCTGCTCTTCAGATGGCCATGGAGAGCTACGGGCAGCTGTGGCCAGGCTACAACTGGGGAGAGTGGCTGTGACAGAGTGGCTGTAGAGCACTGTGTTAATAACTCAAATTCCAAAGCCAGACTGACCTGATCCAAGTCATGGCTCTGCCGCTTACAGCCCATGTGTCCTTGGACACGTGATGTAACACCTCTGAGCCCAATTTCTCATCAGTCAAGTGAATACGATGATAGAATAGACCTCCGAGAGTTGAATAAGAGCATGCATATAGGAATATAAGAGAATTGAATGAAAGTATGGTATAAGGGCCTGACACTCACCTAGGCAGGGAGTGCTCGGTAAGGTTAATAAAAATGACGACAAAATGCCTACGATGAAGAAAGGCTGCCTTCTTGAAGAACTGGCATTGGATGTTTGTATTCATGAGGGCAGCACTAGCTGCTATAATAAATAAGCCCCTACACCTTATTCCTCACTCATTAAAGTCCAAAACGGGTTTCCATGACTGGCCAGTGCTTCTCCACGGGATGACTGCCGGGCCCAGACTCCCATCCTCCTATGCACGATTCCGGAGCTTACCATGGAAGAAAACACATGGAGGTTTCCAGGGCCCAGATCCAGAGGTGAGCGTACCACTTCTGACCACCATCCATCAACTAGAACTTGGTCATGCGGCCACAGCTAACTACAAGAGAAGTTGAGAAATTTCCCCTACCTATTTGCTCAGAAGAAAAGAGGAAACAGCCAACCCCTGTCGCATGACAAACCAACTCAAAAGATGACCCTGAAGCCAAGTCTGGACGATCCGCCGAAGCCTGCTAGGCCCTGTCTGACCCATGCCCTGCACCCAGCCTCTGCTGAGAAAGAGACAGCTCTGCATCATGGAAGAAGTGGCTCCTGGTGCACCTGACTTCTCTTCGGGGCACAGACATTGCTCACAAGAGAAACAGCAATGCTCTCTTGTCGGGCAGACAAAGCTGTGTCCTTCCTTCCTGGAATCATGGCCCAAAGCAGACTCCGCTCAGTGAACCAGAAGCCCTCACCCCTGCAGACGGCCCCCCAAGCCTTGAAGAAGGTGATAGGTATTCAGGCAACCTGGCCATCGTTCATCACATTACGTTCACATACATTAGCCTGGCTGCCTTTTTGACTGTTACCAGGCCAGCAAATGAAGATTCTGTGGTTGGTGCTGAAGGGATCGCTGTGTCTTCACCTTTGCGACTCCTCCAACTATATGAATCAGTCAGACAGACAGGAACCTTGTGAGCAGAAACCCAAAGATTTCCCAGAGACTCTTCTGGGAAGAGGCTCCAGAGATGAGCCAGGCTTGAGTGAGATGCGAGACTCAGACCACAGGCCCTCAACAAATGAGACGTGACTGGGACAACATCATCTATCCTCATAGCTCAGGGCTAACTCATTAGAAGCCTGGCAGCGAGGAGCCCATGAATAAGATGGACATGAAAACTGTCAGCCCCCTATTACTAGGAGGGGCCACACAGGTGAGGA